ACATATCTTCGCTATCACATAGGGGGGTTTCTTAGCCCCTATGTGATAACAATAAAGTTAATTGAAAAAAAATAGGAAACAAAATCAAAGTTGCAAAAAGAAATTCTAGTCACACATGAAAAAGAATTAAAAAAACCACAACATTAAAAAAAAAAGTCCCCACCCATACACACACGAGTGCAAACATACTCGGGGGCGCATACATGCAAAAACGACGATCGCGCCCATTACGCCCCACATGTTACATATCGCCGTGAAAATATATCGAAACGTGAAAGCAATAATTCTAGGGCCATTAATCACTGATAACACTAAACTGATGAGCGGTAAAAGCTTTTAATGCGTCACCTATGGTCAATTTTGGGTATGATAGTTTTTTGCGATTTCGCGGGTGCGCTCAATTTTAAAACTTGACACGTTTGGTGTCTATTTACCCGACCCCGTCTTTTATATTTTACCAAACAATTGGGTAAGAATAAATGTATTATAACATAATGTTAAAAAAAAAACACCTTTTTTTCAAAATTTTCAGTAATTTTTCCTTAATATAGTAAAAAATTAAAACCCTAGTGATGATTAAATACCACCAAAAGAAAGCTCTATCTGTCCCCAAAAAAAGGTATACACTTAATTTCAGTACAGCATTGCATGGCAGAATAAATGTCAGTCAAAGTACAGCAGCGCTACATACTGAAAAATGGCCTGGCCCGAAAGGAATGTAAACACCTGGTCAGCAGTGGTTTAAAATGCATGTTTTTTTTTTTCATTAATACAAAACCACTTCATTTAGTGTGCTACCACAGATATATTTGTAGTATGTTGTATCTATTTACAGCCCAGAAAAATCAATACTATACAATGTTCTACATTGCTGAAGCCAGAAACATGCTGGAGAGGACCAGAGGTGACCAGGATTCTTCTGAACCTGATTTTACTCTTTGGTACTTAGAAACAACTATGTGCCAAGTTAGGATAGCTCCATACCAGTCCAAGCACTTTTTCGAATCATAGTTTAAGTAGCAAGAAATAGCACTTTTTGATCTTGGTTAAAAGCAGATAGAATCTTGTAGTTAGAGATGAGTGAATCAATCCATCAAACTAATGAGATTTTTAATGAAAAGGAAATTTTAAATTCTCTGGAATTTGTGCCTGTAGATTTACCTTCTCAACTTCAAATCAATGCACTTTGTAGATCCTCATTGCCCGGATTCCTGGACTGTGTGAATCTTTGTAGGCAAACATATCCTTTCTGCACCTATCAAAGACAATAGAAAAAACAAACAATGTGATTGAAAGCAACATAAGTCTCTAAGCCTTCATATTTGTCTAATTTGCCAATCTGCTCTTTGCAAATAAGGCGTTATTATAGTTCCTACCCCAACCATTCTGAACAGAGTTTGATATCACTAAGTTTTGTCCAGAGCAGATTTGAACAGCATTTGCCCAACGTGTGACTGGGCAGATGATTTATAAATCATCCTCTAAGTGTTTGTTTTTTTACCAAACAGTGTCTTCTCAGAAAATTAAGTTGGTTACTCCTACAAAAATAAAAAACAAAAACAAAAAAATTAGGCTAGCTACTCTCTAGGGTTTGCTTTTTAAAGGATTGCATTTTCTTCACTTGACAATGTATACACTTAAAACAACCAGCCATGTACAATTTTGACATTTCTATTTTTTTGTATTCCTCTGAACATATGTCAAAGTTTAACTAGATAAAAAATGTACTCTTTAAGCAAATCATCCCAAATCTATCAGCAGTCATTGTTCAAAAAGTAAATGATTTGAATTCATGTTGGTTAAGTGAGAGTGTGATGCTATGGTGAGTAAAAAGGTCTCTGGAATTCTATTAATTGTAAGAAAACTAGTCCATGAAGAAAGTAACCTAATGGTAATATCCATGCCAGGACCTAAGATGTTGTTTTTCTATTTGTATTTCTTATTTCTTTATGTGTGCAACAAACTGTTATCTAGCCTACACAGATGGTGAAGAGGTTTGCACATGTGCCTGTGCTATAATTTCCCATGTACCTGTACCTGTAGGTATATTTAAAAAAGCAGACAATATGACCAAAACATTCAATGCAAAAGCCACCGCACATTCACAGCAGGTGAATCTTTCTGGTGTATGTATTTTTAAATATCGGGTGATTTATTTACTTGCAGTAAATGTTAGGTGAAATTCAATTTCACTGCTTTTTAAATATGGACCTCAGTCTCATTTTTAAGCATACATTTTACACTTGTTTCATGATCATCAGTGAGCATGTTTCCAGGTCAGTGAAGAACAACTAAATTTTTGTTCTAAGACATATTAAGAGCTAGCAATGAGTTACTATGATTTCTCTTTCATTATTAGCCATGTTATACACACATCTGGCATTAAAAGAAAAAGAAAATCAGCTGCAGTGTGCTAATTGGATAAAGTAGAATTCAATAATTGTTCTGCAGTGGATGCTAAAATTGAAGAATGCTGTGTTTACCTTTTATCTGTGATTTATGGCTGCAGCTTTTTGGAGGGTGGCGGAAGCAGAGGATGTTCTTAATTAACTGAGCTGTTTTTCTCTATAAATGCCATTTTCTAAGACTATTTGCCAAGAATAGTGAAAGATTCCTTATATTAATTATATGACATGCTTTTGGCTGATAGCAGTTAAATGAGAACTATTTTAAATCATGTGCCCTCCAAATTAAAGGTTTTGTGTATTTATTACCGTTCCCTTGGATAAATGTATTCTAATTTTATAGAGATTTCCTACAATCCTTAACAAGGACATTATTATATATCAAAACATAGAGGATCAACACAGTTAATACATGGGAATGATAGAAATGAGCCTTAATTAACCACCAAGAAATCTTTTCTTTAACAGTGCAAATAAATTTATACTACAACCAAAACCTTTTCTTTTTGCACAGCATGGAGAAGGGTTTCAGCCCCTTCTAGGTTTCCACTGCTGTTCACACTCAATTGATCTCCCTTCTGTTCCTGCTCTGGTGATTGGTGCCACCTGGAGACATAGGCTTCCACAACAGGTGAAAGCCTATGTGTGGTTTTTCTGCACTGCACGTTCGGCAGTTGTCTCTCGATCATGTTAAAAACCAGCCGAAAATCGTACGATTCTCGGCTGGTTTTCCAACCTGCTCGAAATACAAAAGTCGTGCGACCGTACATTAGAAACGGTTGCACGCCTTCCATACACTGCACGATTCTTGTACGACCACGCAATTTCCCGCGATTCTCGTACGAGAATCGTGCAGTGTATGGGCACCTTTAGGCTTGCCACTATTCACTGTGAAGAATTAGCTCCAGGTACTCAATGCCACTTTTAGGATGTATACTATTACATTCATTTACAGAGAAGGTACACCAACTATTAAACAAGTGCTCTTTTGGATTTACTACTTACCAGATTGACCCTACTTCTTTGCATATGTTGCCTACCACAGCTTACAGTTCCAATCCATTTAACCACTGTGCCAGCCTCAAATGGCACGCCAGCTTAAGTTACATCGCCTTTTATAAAAGGTGCACCTTTTATGTACTTGGCGGAAGCAAACCGAGTCTATCTACACAAGAACAAAATCTTTCCTGACACCATTTTATTTCTTAATTTTGAACAAAGCATGTCTAATAATAGTAGTACATTTAGGGCACTCTAGTGAGGTTGTTTTTAATTAAATAATCAATCTTAAAATCCATAATGTACTGTTCATAAGACTGAAGATTAGTTGGGGGCATTAAGTTACTAACAATCCATTATGGTGCAAGGGAGTGTTAAAAATGGGGAAGAGCTAACAATTTCCTACCGCAAAAGGGAGGAGTACAAAATGGAAGAAGAATTCACAATTTGAGTATAACAGAGGGGTACAGAATCGGGGAAGAGATCACAATCTATTATGTTTTAATGGAGGGGTAAAAGTAGGGGGAAGAGCTCACAACCTATTATAGTATAAGGGAGCAGTACCGAATGACGGAAGAGCTTTCAAGTAATTCATTTTTGTTGATTGGCCAAAAATACATCCGTGCAGATGTGATGTTCTTCGGTTGTGATGAACTGGTGGAAGCTGTATACATGACTGCTATACAAGGCATGCAGTTATTTCTTTAGGCAAGTTAAATATTACATTTCATTGCTAATTTATTAGTATAAAACTGTATAGGTGAAACAGGTGTGCGTTGGCAGGATTACA